TAAATCTGAGGGCTGGTTTTTAATCCGAAAGGTAGTCGAGTGGGTTGGTATAACCCTTCGAGGGTGGCAAATGCTAACAGTGGTCGAGAATCGGGGTGTATTGGGACTTGCCAATACGCAGAGGATATGTCTGCCGTGGAGAAATATTTGGCCTGTGCGAGGCGGTCTAGGATATCCTCGATTCTCGGGAGGGGATGGACATCAGAGCTGATTAGCTCGTTCACCTTCCTGTAATCGATACAAAACCGTTTGGTCTTGTCGCGCTTAGTGACGAGGGTGACAGGGCTCGAGAAAGGTGAAAAAGATTGCTCTATGATGCCGTTCTCCAGCATTTGTTGGACTTGATTACGGATTTCTTGTTGGTCACATATCGGAACACGATATGGACGTATGGTAATTATTTTATCGGAATTCGTGGGTATTTTTACTGGTGGAATCCGTAAGCATGGTACGTTGAATTTGTTCTGTGTGAAAATGTGAGTGTATCTTTGTAGAAGTGTTGTGAACTGCGGTGTATAGTGAGTGTTAAATGTTGTGTTGTAGTATGCATGTGGCAAAGGATTTTGTTGTGTATCAATGGGAGTGTCGAGTTCGTTGTGTGGTTTTGTCATGTGATAGTTGTGCGACGGTGTGTGATCACCTATGTGCTTGGTGTGCGAGTTGTCCCGCTGTGTGGGTGCGTTTTGGGCATGTTTACAAGTTGAAGTCGTTGTGACTTGGTTATTTGAGGGCATGTAAAAAAGGCAATTGGCCTTAGTGAAAAAAGGGCATGTAGGTAAGGGGGTGTTTTTCAATGAATGCACGCAATGGTTGTCATAGGCGGAAGATTTGGCTGTATGGTAAGATCTTTGTGACATCGCCTGACACTGCCAGTACGTGCATACATTTGGTACATTGTTAAAATGGTAGGATGGGATAGACAATGGGGCGCCCAGCTGGAATATAGTGCATTTATTAAAATCTATGGTTAATCTGAATTTATGGAGGCTATTGATACTAAGAATTCCAAATGGTAACGGTGCATTCACTACATGGAAATTCTCTCTTCGGGATATTTGTCCTATTGTCAGTGGGATAGACAGTTTACCCATGGTTTTTGCAAAACCGTTTAGGGTTTGGAGGTTCAGTGAATGTCCCTCAAGGGTTAAATTAGGCAGATGGGTTTTTAACATATGATAAAGATTATATGGCACTATATTCAGGCTGGCGCCTGTATCAATTAAAAAGGGGCATGGTATATTAGGGGCTAGAAAAAGTTTTACAGTCAGTTGGGTTAGGGATCCTACCTCAGTCTCGAAAAGTCTGCTCGGCTGGGGTGTCTCTGGCTTGACTTGGTTGTTGTGGACTCGGGACTGGCTGTTTTGGGACTGTTTGCACTGTCCGCACTTTTTCGTGGGTCGTCGGGGACTGGTCGATGTCGGCATTCGCTGTGCCAGTGCCTCGCGCCGCAGAACTTGCAGTTGGACGGCGGAAGAGGTGCATTCCATGCACCTGGGCGTCGGGGTGTGCTGTGATACGGACCCGACATTGTGGGTGGTTGATCTTCTCTGGGTCGCGTTGTCGGTACACTGGGCCCGTGGATCCGCTGTACCAGTCGGAACCACTCTCCTAGGTTCTCGGGAGGCACTACGCGGACTAGGCGCTGGTCGTTGAATGACAGCCCTTCTGTCAGCGTCTCGAGGATCACCTCCTGCGGAAGTCCTAGTTGCAATCCCATGGCGGTTTCTCTCCCGGTAGTAGGTCTCTAAGTTGGCTTGTCCAGTGAGCTTCATGGCGAAATATTTCGCAAAGGACGCTTCGCTTGATTCAGGATAGAGATCTAGGAGGATTTGCCTCACCTGGAAATAGCTCCGGTCGGCCAGCCGAAGTTTCCTGAAGAGCTCCAGGGGTTGTCGCACCAGATAGTTTGGCAGGCGGAGTAATTTTTCTTGTTCTCCCCATGGAGGTGTCTTCCATTTTTCGATCGAACGCCTGGAAAAACTGGTCGCGCTGTATGTGCCATCGAAAGGCGGGATTGTCGCCTCGGCTCCATCAGAAACCTTTGCTCGGGTCAAGAGCGTCGACAGCTGGGTGACGACGTCCGCTAGGGGCGCAGTTGTCTCGCCCGTCTCTCTTACTTCTTGCCTTTCTTCCGTTGTTTCCGTCGGGCCGTCCGACTTTACCCCTATGGGATCCTGATTAAGCTCCATAATATCTTTATCCTGTCGACTTTCAGTATAGCTGTGGTATTATGCTATGCTGGGAACCTTACTCTTGGGGTTGCAGATTGTTGAAGTGGTGGCGCAGTCGTGATGGCTGAGTAAGAAAGGATTACACACAAGGGAAATAAGCCAGGACACTTGATGGGTTGAAATAAAAGGGCAACTGGTTTGGAGGAAAGAAAGCTTGAGAAAACGGAGCGAATTTTGACTTATTACTATCGGATCACATGGTGATGACCGACATGACTATGGGATGAGTTGAGAGAGATCTCTAGAGCAGACGTTACCTTGGTGAGAGCAAAGTCGAAGACTCGATCCGAACTCGGTGGGAGCGAAGTGGCGACTCTAGGTGTTGTTCCGATGGGAGCGAAAGCACTACTAACAATTCTTGCTTCTCGATTTAACACCAAGACTTATCTTCTTTCCCATTGGTCGAAAGATGTCACATGACCGTTTTCTATTGGTTGACCTATTTAGGTATTGTTCCCTAATTGGTGGGACCATGTCACGTGGCCGTTGGCTATTGGTTGTCCTATTTAGGTATTGTCTTCTAATTGGCCCTTGCCAATCTCTTTGGCGGAAGATATATCCGGCCTTGCCCAGGAAATACTGATCGTTAAACTTAGCTTTTAGGATTTCCGGGGTCAGAAGGTTAACTGTGACTTTATTAATAGTTGGGCTCTCTTCTAGGCCTACTTCCTAGGTTTTCTCTACGTTCTATCCTCCAGTTACCTTTGTTCTTTTATTAAATTCTTTTAAAACATACATTGTACATACATAGTAGGTCGGAGGTGCATACAGTTATATACAAATTATGACATAAATAAAACTCTGTAATAGAATAAGAGTTGAGCTGAAGCAAGAGATAGAAGTCAAAAACGTCTAAAATCGAGATAGATTTAGAAATCCCAAAACAACATCTTAAGATAGATAGGAAACTGTCAGGGCGGTGCCAGTGTAGAATTTCGCCAGCCGATCTACTCTCTTGTCGCATCTGCTGAAATGCAATACTTCCTTTCTCGGAAAAGATATATAAGGCCTCCGTCCTAGATAAAAATATAGTCACTTCACCATCAGCGGAAGCCCTCGTCGGTTGTCACCAAGGTCCTCCTCATCCACCATGTAGACCAGTAAGAACTCTTCTATCTCCATCTTTCGCTCCTAGCTCAACTTATATCTTTTCATGGAACTTTCCTAGTGCAAATGTGTCTTCGTTTTTTGTGTGGACATTCCAAGCTTTCCACTCTGCCTCGACCACGACTGCCTGTACTCTGTGAGAACTGTTAAAGGTCTTCCAAGGTGCAGAGAGGTACTGGAAAACTCTCCACGCCCTGACTGTCCCTCTCGGTTACTACAGGTTTGCCTCTTTCGGTTACCATACCACAGCGAGAGACCCTCGGTTACCACAGTATAGCAAGAGTCGACAAGATCTCACACCATAGATTGAGTCGACTGGATACCTCACCACACTTTTAGTGGACAGGATTCTACAAGAGTCAACAGGACCTCATCACATATATGTGATATCCTGACTGTCTCTCGCTGTGGTGTGAAATCCGAGGGGATCTCTCGCTTTACTGTGCAACTGAGAGGGTCAAACCTGTAGTAACCGAGAGGGACAGTCAGGGTGTGGAGAGTTTTCCAGTACCTCTCTGCACCTTGGAAGACCTTTAACAGTTCTCACAGAGTACAGGCAGTCGTGGTCGAGGCAGAGTGGAAGACTTGGGAATGTCCATACACAAAACGAAGGGACACAGTTGTACTAGGAAAGTTCCGTGAACAGATAGAGTTGAGCTAAGGAGCAAGATGGAGATTTGAGAAAAGTTCCTACTGGTCTACATGGTCGATGGTGCGGACCTTGGGGACATCTGACGAGGGCTCCCGCATTGTGTGAAGTGACTGTAATTTTCGGCTAGGACGGAGGTCTTTATATCTTTGCCGAGAGGAAGTATTGGGTTTCAGCGGATGCTATAAGGGCGTGGATCGGAAGACATTGTACACTTCTGACAAAGCCTATCTTCTAGGCCTCGTTCTTAAAGTTGTGGGGCTTCTACATTTCGATTTTTGCTTAAGCAAACTCTTAATCTATTGCAGAGTTTTATTCATTTATCCTCAGTTTGTACAAAGTACATTACATATGATGATGTAATGACACATGTCAATCATGCGTATAATTATTTACAGAAGTGTTTGTTATACAACATGAAAATCTTGTTATTTTATATACAATAGGAGGTTGTTGGTTTAACCTTTTATAATCGTAAATGTGAAAAAAATAAATTTGAAAAATAATTTTTAAAAAAGGTCAGGTGTTGGTACTAAAATTAAAGAAGGCATATCCTGACCACGAGCAACATGAGCTTTTTAGATGGCAGAGCGCCATCTAGTGGAACATAAGTTAACTAAACGTTGATTTAGCCTGTTTCCTGATATTTAGCCACCCCATTTTCGAACCCAAAATTGACATTTAGTTTGTTTTTATATACCAATAGATGGTGTCAACCATTAGCAATATTCGTTTGCATGCTCAGGAGATGTTTTGTACATCATGTTTCATCCTGTTCTTTGTCGTCTGAACATCCAACTCAGCCGGGTGTGCGCAGCAAGGGGAACTGGAAGCTCAACAAAACTCTGGAAGCGCATGAAGGACGCTGTAATCCCTCTGGGAGATATGTTTAAAGACTCAACCTTGGACCAAGTGGAATCTGGATCTCATGCCATGATCTTGGACAAAGCTCTTCTATGGGTTATGATCCTCAACAGGTACTCAGTCACACACAAAAACCTTTATTAGGGATCAACAGGGTAGCCTAGTGGACATGACATCTGCCCGGTAAGCGGAACATTGTGGGTTCGATTCCCATCCCTGGACACTTTTATTTTTCCGTTCGTCATTACTCTTCATAATTCACCCTTTCATACCTCATCCAAAAAAAGATAGAAATAGTCGATATTTCACCTTGAAATAGAAATTTTGATTTTTTGTTTAAAAGAAACTCATGCGGTTTTAACTTCTAGTGTCGTTTTACAAAAATCTTTATTAAGGATCAAGCCCCATACAGGATTATTCCAGAAATGGTTTTATTTGAACATAAACCAAGCACTATATACAATTCAGTATTAACATGAGCCCAAAAAAGAGGAAAACTATTTATAAAACAGGTACTCTGTCACACACAAAAACAAAAACCTTTATTAGGGATCAAGCCCTATACAGGATTCTCCCAGCAATGGTTTTAATTGAACATAAATCAAGTACTATGTACAATTCAGTATTAATATGAGCCCAACAAAAAAGGAAACTATTTACACAAAAGGTAACTCAGTCTATTCAGATGATTAAATTTTCCAAAACAGCATGCTTATCTAACACCGAAATTCATTTTCATATCACTAAGACTATACGACTTCGATATATAGGTGTTGTCCTCTTGATTCATTCCATCGAGGGCAGCCAATCAGCGTGCGTTCAGTTCTCTTTGTTGTCCGTATTGCATACCTACAAACCCATGGTCCCACAAACTTTTAATAAGTTTCTTTTATCTTGAAGATAGAAGTTGCCTCTGGCCGGCATTCATATTTCTTATAAATTAGACACTTCGACCAGTTAAAAGTTATATTTTCTCAACGTGTCAACAAAATTATTTTGTCTTTGTCAGGAGAAATAAAAATAAAGCATTAGGCAAGGTGTTAAAAATTATTTTAAGGTTGCAAGAGCGTTCTCGCGCGATTTTTCAAATTTAGTACAACTTTTTTTTTTTTTAAATCGCGTGAGAACGCCTTTGCAACCCCAGAAATTTTTTTAACGCCTTGCCAAATGCTTTATTTTATTTCTCCTGACGAAGACAAAAGATTTTTGTTGAAATGTTGAGAAAATAAAACTTTGACTTGCCGAAGTGTCTATTATTTAAGAAATAAGTTTCTTTTCAACAAATATTTTTATTTTTTCAACAAGTTAAACGAAGAGTTTAAGTAAATATAGCATTTTTAGATATTGCCAAAATTAGGAAAGACAAATTTCGAGGATAATACAGCAATTTATTTAAGGCAAGAACAAATTATGATTGATAAACAAAAGATAAGCAATGAGGGAAGTTTACAGAATAGCAAAATATAAACATAAAAAATTATATTCTATTAATAAAATAATACTTTGCTACAATATTGATTTCCTCTAAAATTTTCCGTCCATTTGGGAAGCAGGAGTGATCGAATGAAGGAAACAACGAATTCATATACTATGGAGAGATTGTAAGACGATCTAAGAGACATGTTCTTTGTTTAGATGCAAGCAGTCCGACACCTGTGGATTTCACATCGCCAAGCAAGGCTTCAGCCCCTTTCCTCAAGTACTGGCATTCAGCAAGTCCCTCGACCCTGCTTTGATCCGTCTTATTAACACCAGGTTGGTACGTCATTGCCATTTTAATCCACCTGCAACTCTCTCTGGTGCAGGTTGACAAGATACCAGGAAACAGACCTACTCGCTAGGTTCGTGGGACCTGTCCTCTCCAACCTCACCAAGTACACCAAGCTACATGAGTCAGATGACTCTCCGCAACCTCTTGATCTAACAGACACTGCAGGAGTGTTTGTTCTGTGGGCCCTCGGCATCGCTGCAGCGTGCGGTGCTCTTGTAGGGGAGACCCTGTTTGGCCGTACTGTAAAACCCTGGCTCTAAGATTTGTAACATAGATAATAGATTGTTAAAGTAGGCTTTATTGCTTTCGTTTAGGTCAGTATATCTCGATATAAGTTGCTAAAATATACTAGACCATGGGTCGGCAAACTTTTGAGTGGGAAAAGTAAAAAATTACAATTTCAAAGTTTTTAAAGAGCCACAATTTTTTTCTTGCCAACAATAAATAGTACTCACATAAATAATATTTACGTATGGAACTATATAAAGAGCCGCAGCTTCACATCCAAAGAGCCGCAGTTTGCTGACCCTTGTACTAGGCTACCTTAGACAGCACTGTGTCTAAATCATAAATATTCTAAAATAGTCTATACTATATAGGGCCCTGGCTCTGGGTGACCTCAATGCTACCTCCATTCGATTCGGTCCTTAAAGATTTCAATCACATGTAATTAGGGATTAGTTTGAGGAGAAAGCCTACTGTCCATAAAAAGTATATAAAATGACACATTTAGCAATTTCTTTTAAATTTAATAAAGAAGCAAGTATTAATAAGGCGATTTTATGTGTTTAGAATATTTATCAGCTGAACATATCGAAATTAAATTTATTTTTGGTATTGATAATTTGTACTTCAGATTGCCTATAAATGATATGGATTTCAAGCGATAGATTGGTGTAATTTCATGAAAGGATGCATTAATATGTAGTAATTATGACACTTTATCTTTTAATGCACACACATGGCAGATGGTAACAAAATTTAGATGAATAAAATAAAGCAAATAAAATATATTTTCCTTTTTGTTCTACCTCCTATCTCACGTTTCTTGAATTTGTGCGGCACGAGCGTATTTTTATCTTTTCTTTCTCTTTTGCTTTAAAATATGCCGTGCCCTGCTATAGGAACACTCAACTCATTTATCATAGTATTATCATCAGTAAAATTACTTACATGTTTGAACTAAAGAACCATACATTCCCACATATAAAATATTGCACATCCTAGTCTCTGTATCTTATATAACCTTATATAGACGTTGTAATAAAGAGTAGTTTCAATTTCAATCTCTTTTTTCTCTCTCATTCTACACACAATACTAAAAAAAATGTGAAAAATATCTCTCTTGAATATATATCAACTAGCCGAATGACCCCGTGTTTTACCCGATTGAATGTTTTTATTCAAATACTATTTGTTACAATTATAAATTGGCGCCTTAAATAAATTGCATATATTAGTTAATAACTATAGCCTATGTGCTTTATCTGTCTATGTACTGTTGGCTTCCGTAGGCGTCTCTTACTGGGAAAAAGAAAGAGAGGATTCCATTTAGTTATTAACTAATATATGCATTTATTTAAGGAGCGACCCGCTCCAACACATAGTTACAAAAACCAAAAAGCGAGTGGGGGGGGGGGGGGGCAAAGTCAAAAACAAAGTGTCTCGCGTAGTGGCGGCGCCATCGTAGCCACGTGATCATAGCCAACCAATAGGAGAGCGCCATTCCAAAAAAAAATCAAACGGTGACAGAGATGATGACGCTCGTAACTGTATATAGAATATTAAAAATAAAAAAGACATTACTGACCAGGAGCACATGTGCTTTTTTTTTATTATCAACACCTGACTTTTTATTTATTTTTTTCTATTGTTTTTTCATATATCAATATATAATTTTTTTTTAAATCAATTTTTAAAAATCTTATTATATTTATTTCAATCATAGTATTAATAATAATAAATAGTTACACTTTAGATCTAAAATTAAAGAGTATACATATTTCTGAATCTCCATTTCACCATCAAATTTGCATAGTTGTTTATGTAAAAAGTAGAGTTTATCACTTCAGTGATAAATGGCGCCAAGTTCACTAATACCTTGAGAGACAGACCTTAGAGGGAATTTTTTATTTTAATATTTGAACTTAACAGTTTGAAATCTTGTATGACAATTAATACAGGGAGTTTTTAAGATAATTTTTGGTTGGAAGTTTGTTTGGAAAAATATATTCCACTGAAGAAAATAACGGTGGTCGCTTAAAATATGGTAATATTTTTATTAAAGTGCAAAATGTCATTAAAGTGAAAAAATGCAGTCTTCTTCTTCTTTCTTATCTCCACTCAATCATATTAGGGTATCAAGTTGTGACCCTTGATGGTGTCTGTTTGACAACCATAATGACTGGGTGAAGTAGAATACTTCTGCCTTTGTCATTAAGATTGGGAGCACTACTCAGTGGCAGGCCCACTTAGCTCCAAAAGAAATGGCCGCCTCTGACATGAGGAACAGACGCCATGTGCAGCTGCTCCTAACATGGAGCACAAACGCTGCTCATCCTGTATCCCTGGATTAGGAGCCCTTACAGAACACTATCAGCTGGGCTAGCTGAACCCAGGTTTTTTAGCAAGCTTGTTACTGCTTACCTCCCCTCCTCCTTTTCATCTGGGCTTGCGACCGGTAAAGGCGGAGTTAATGTAGTCTTAAATGTGCAAAACCTATACATAAATTAGTCTATTTCTGGGAATCTAGAAGTCTAAAATTTTGTTAGCTGAATTAAGCGAGTCTTCAAAATATCAAATTTATATATTGTCTGGAAATATATTTAAAATTGATCACAAAATTGAAAAGAAATATAGAATTAGCATTTCATGTCACTGACTGCATTTTTTTTTAATGGCTAACCGCTAATTACTCTGCGCTTATTTTCGTTTGAAGATAAACATTTCAAATTATTTTCTCCAGTCTATTTCTGATCACCACGGTCACCATGAATTCTGAAATTTTCTACACCAGCAATGTTAGTAAGGTATGAACTAGTGCCTAAAAATACCTAGACTTCCCTCTAGATCTATAAGTATAGAAAAAATATAGAAATTGATTAATTCCCCGACCTCACCCCTTCCATCACCCAAATGTCTATAAATTTGTAAACTTGCATTGTCATCTAGATTGAGCTTGAG